GTGGAGTCAGTTATACTTAAACCAAGTGAAAGTAAAGTGATTTAATTCCCGCCTCAACATTGCCTGAAGTAAGAGTAAACATTTGTATTTAGAAAACATCAACACATTTTACACACACAGTTTTCTCTCTCTCTTTGTACTCACTCAGTCACCAAACCCCATATACCACCGTACGCCTCGGGATTCTTCACCTGCCGATAGTATTTAATGGTACTCAGACCCTCACGTGTCGGCCAAACTCCTTCGGTGCGATAGATCTTTTCGAAATCAACTGGATTATATGTACAAATTAAATCACTACGTCCGAAGGAGCCGCGTATGAGAAATATGTCGCCATGACGTTGACGTAGTGTTTGATACATTTTCAAGAAGTTTGCGCCGTACAATTCACCTAAGAGTAAAAAGATTATAGAGTTCTTTTAAAGTTTATTTACTTTAATTATTTTAATTATATTTTTTTCTACCGCCTGGTAAGAAGTCTAACATTAGCCCAATGGCGGATGGTCCAGGAATTTCTTTATACTCCTTGGCGTTCGCCCATTCCTCTTCGGAAATTTCAGTTACTTGAGGCTGAAAAGAAAGTACAAAAAAAATGTACGCATCAAAAATTCTCTTGCCAAATACTTGTAGGAACATAGTTTTAGAGACCTTTGATCAAAGCCTCTTCTATTTATTGTAACGCCTAACAAAAATCAGGTCCACAAATTTAGCTATATTACACACCGTAAATAATAGTTTGTAGAGTCTTTTGAAGACAGCTTGATCATAAACAAGACGGATTCTGTCATCGGAACAGAGTTCGATTGGGTATTTAGAGATTTAGGCTGATATGTGGCAGATAGCAAGCACTAAAAATCTCAGAGAAACCGTTCAATAGCTCCACTATAAGAGATGTGTTGAAAAAATATCGCGAATTTCGTTTTTTCAAAAATTATTTATTTGTTCATGAATATCAATTTCGTCCCCATCAGATGTACACTTGTGCCAACGGTTTTTCCAATATTCGAAGCACTTCAAAAAATTATTTTTTTTATCTTGTTCAGCTCCTCCTTCTATGCCGCCTTCATCTCGTCAATCGTAGCGTGACGTCGTCCTTTCATTCGTGTTTTGGGCCAAAAAGTCGCGCACAAGCAAAGATGTGTGAGCAGAGGCGTCATCGCGGTGTGAAAGCCAATTTTTGTTCTTCCAAAAATCCGGGCGTTTCTAGCGGATTGCTTCGCGCAAATTGCGCATAACTTGCAGGTAATATTCCTTATTGATCGTTCTACCCTGTGGAAAGAACTTATGATGCACCACATCCCTGCAATTAATTTTATTTTTTTCTGTTGTTGAAGTGCTCGGGCGTCCGGCACGCTCTTCGTCGTTCACATCTTCTCGGCCTTCTGAGAAAATTTTGTACCACCGATAAATGTTGCTTCGGTCGAAGGTCGCTTCGCCGTATGCCACAGTCAACATTCGGAATGCATTCGCGCACTTAATTTCGTTTTTCACACAAAATTTGATATAGATTCTTTGATCCATTTTTTTTGAATAGGTAAAAATCGAAGACAATCCAAAACACGTGCAAGCAAAGCAGCTGTCAACAATTAAGTGAACATTCAAAATGGCCGTCGACATAAGTGGCAAACATGAGTACCAACATAACGCCACAAAAAAATCGAAATTCGATTATACGTAACCCGCGAAAATTCAAAATTCGCGATACTTTTTGAAGACACCTCGTAGATCGATCAAGCTTTACCGGTATAACGAGAGCTTGTAATAATGGAGACAAAAATTAGGTCGTTTAGAATCAACCAAAGATTGCTTCTCAGGACGGTGAAAGCCCTGAAAAACAAAGATCAGCAAGAGGAATATAAAAATAACTCCAAATTAGCGCATAGTTTCCCGGAGTATTCGTGGTAAGAATAAATAATAATTAATTCGGGCCTAACAAAAAGTAATTCATTATTTCTTCAGACATGGGCTTAGTGATCTACATATCGTGTTGTTTAATTGCGAAATAAGATTGGTTTGCAGGTTTGCCCATAATGCACAAAAAAAGTGCGAATCGCTGCTGACTAAATCGACCCGTTTCTGAAGCGGATGGTCAGCAACGTCAAATGTAAATGGTCGTGGTCGAAAGAAAGTGAGCTGGCACAAATGGTATCCAAGCCATGATTGACGCTGAATTTGGATTTCTTGAAGCTGGGTCTTTAGTCAAAATGGAGTCTGAGATCCCAAATTGTGCATTGCTTTTATGCTTTACAAAATTGAAAGGGGTGTAACGCTCCAGTTTACAAGGTGCAGAAAGCGCAATAAAAATTAGTCCAACAAAGGCCCTGAAAGTAATGCTTGAGACCAGCTACCCAACTAAGCTCGGTCTAAACGTGCAGATTTGCTAATTGCAGTCGCTCCTCAGCAAGAAATGTCCACGCATCTGAGTGCATTTCTGACATGAAATAAAAGACTCCTCTATAAGAAGTGGGAATTATTGGACTATATTTCTTCGAAATTGAAGCCATTCATAATATTATAATCAATGGTGAATGCTATAGAGCCGTACATAATGACTATTTCGTGCCGGAGTTAAAGGATGTTGAAGTGGACCCCTTTGGGTCCAACAAACGGCGTCGGTCAGACCGAAATCATTTTAAAAATATTGGCAAAACTATTAGCCGTATAATAAAGCACATTAAATTATATGCGTTCTATTTTTTCTTGAAAATCACAAAAACAGCCTTTAATCTGCCTGTTTTAAAGTAGCATGGAGCGTCTCCAGGCTTTACTTGCAAAGTGCTTTTTAAGAAATTTTTTTTATTTTTTTTTTTTTGTAAATTGCGCTAAAGTAAGGATGAACGATTGGCGGTAAAGATTGTTTCATTCAAAGGGCGCTTAGCGGTATAATTGATTCCAAACCTTATCCCGCGACGCTTGCAATATCACATAATAATAACATAACAATTGAATCTTCTGAAAAGGCATTTATATTTATCATTTTATATACATACATACCTACGCAATGGATAAAAAGAGGTGTGACTATAGTAAATTTAAATTTTTTATATTTTTAGAATTTTAATTTCAGTCTTCTCAAAGACATTTGCATACACGCGTGTGGATAATAACACTTATCTTCGAAAAAAAGAAAATTGTAAAAAGTAATTTTGGTGAAGTTTGAGGAGTAAAATAATACAAGTAAGTTGGACGTAAGAAAACGAAAAAGTATTTTTATTAGTTATTTGTTGCGGTAAAGAAAAACAAATTAAACGAAACTAATGGAGACTGTATACAAAGAAGCTCAATGCACTCGCTGCACGAACAAATTGGGCGATCGTTGCAAATAACAAAGCACACACGCACACACACACACACACACACACACATGCACATTGATCGCCAGCAGATAAGTAAAAAAAATTGTTCTCGATAGCTTTTTCATCCTTTTGCTCTTTGCGCGTAAAATTATGAGTGCAGCTGCACTTGAGAGCACTTACCTGCTGGTCCAATGCAGCATTGCGTGTAGTCAATGGCCTTGCGCTGTAGGCAGCTAAACGTTGCAGCGGTTGTATAGCTTTAAGCGGTTGCAAGTAGCGACTTAGAATATTCAGCTTGTCGAGTAACATTTTTTAGTTTTTATTTTTATTCACTTTAATATTTTTTTCTCCTTTTTTTGTGCTTTATTATATTTTTTTATTTAAATTATATTTTTATTCCAAAATTATTATTTATTTATTTATTTGTTTATTTATTTACTTATTTCTTTTAAGTTCGTCGTTATGCCTTTGACGCCACTGTGGTTTACTTTTCGCAGCTTGAGATATTTGTATGTAAAATGTCACCACCGGGGTTGATATTCATTTGATGCTGGTCGCAGTGCCACTAAACTCTTTTCCGGCACTCGCAAGACTTAAATAAAAGTTTTGTGCTTCCATGGAGAAAGTAATGAATGTTGTTGTTACAGCAATGGTATGCTGTGATGTAGTGAGCACAAATAATGATTTTTGAAGCACTGGAGAGCATACAGAGTATGCATGTGGAATTGCAAGAGAAAAAAATCCTTTCTTGTCGAAAGAATTGGCATCGAGCACAGTTAAGGTCGAATTAAAAAAAAAAAAACTATTGAAATTTATTGATTTTTTTTTTTGAGAATAATATATTTAGAGCTTTAAATCTCTAACTTTTAATATCCTGCTTTCGTAGAAACTTCACTTGGTAAGGCACAAAGAAGGTATACTGAAGACACTGCTCATGTTAGCGGCTAGATGTACTCTTCAGGGTGGTGTTCTGTCACCACATCGAAGGGATATCAAACAAGCTAATTGCTTCTGCGAACGGCATAGCTACAAATGTTACTGGGAAATTCCATGATACCATGAACAAGTTAATGGAAAGGGTTTTGTGAGTCGCACTTTAATCGAATTAGGGATAAATTATGACAAAATAGTTACGGTAGTGTTCAGTATAACGTACGAAATACCCATATGGAAAGGGGGCGGGCGAACTGCTGAGTACGCGGGCGAAATGTTGCATTGACTGATGTGGAAGCTAAATGCAGAGGAAGGGATGAAAAAAACAATGGTTTACTTTACGCAAGTAAAAAGATGCTGAGTACCACTCGGTATGTGTCCTCTGGCCTCACGCATCGCTGTTCCACAGCGGTATTTAAAGTAGGGAAATCCAATGAAAAGTTACTTGACCTACCACCAATCACCAATGTAGGGGAGAGGAGGATCTTGAAGGCCTTACCCATTTCTTGCTTACACGATCACATATTTTTTACCTGTATGCCATGAAGCGCCATCATATTGCAATCAAAGGTCGTCCACATTAACATCCTCCAATTCAGGCACAAAAGAGTCATTAATCAGGGCTTTGTAGCAGCCTCATTGGCTGTAAAATTGTGGCAGGCTTCATTTTTGAAGAAATATCGACCTTTTTTGAGTATAAACCGGCGTCTCAACAGTACCATATACGGCAAATTTATTTGTTTGGGTACGTTAATACAACAAATCCAATATGAGCTTCACTGCTGAACCAAATTTTCATGGAATAAGACGGATCACTATTATAGGTCAAGTAAAAAGTTCATTCGGTTGTTATCTGATGACGATATTGTCCATAGTATTATTGTCATAGGAACCAAAGAGAAGCCAGAAAACCGTTTGGAACCATTCGCAAAACCTTGAATTCAAAAAGAAGCTCGATGTTTGGGTGCCACACTAACTAACGCAAAAAAAAAATGATGGACCGAATTTCCATCTGCGAATCGCTGCTGAATCGCAACAAAATCGACCCGTTTCTGAAGCGGATTGGGACCGGCGATGAAGAATGGGTCACTTGCGACAACGTCGAGCGCAAACGGTCGTGGTCAAAGCTCGGGTAAGCGGCCCAGACGGTGGCCAAGACCGGATTGACGGCCAGGAAGGTTTTGCTGTGGTTTGGTGGGATTGGCGCATATTTGAAAAATCAATAAAAAACCGAATAAACTTTTTACTTGACCAATATATTGACGCAGGGTGATTTGAGGAATAATTCCGAAAAAGTAAATTAAAACTCTTGTTTAGATTATATGTAGTTTTTAAACACAAAAAATATTTATTTTATTTAAAAAACAACATAAAATATTAAAAATTTCTTTAAAACGCTACTAGATGAGAGGTAAAAGTGCTTCTTTAAAATTCAAAATTTTCAACACAATTCTACAACGAAATATCTAAACAACATCGAGATCCAAACAAATAGTGTTCTTTGATAATTTTTAAAAATATCTAATAGAATCCATTAATTTATTGACTCATAATGAAAAAAAAACTATAATAACTAAAAAAAACTGAAACATTTTTCAAATGAGTGGCGTCAAGATCAAATTGGAGAACAATACAAAATTAATAATATATTTAGTAAAATATTTTGTGTCCTTTAAATATATAACCATCATGAGAAATATTTTCACACAATAAAAAATTAGTTTTTTTTTAAATATACCTGCTTATTTTCAAAATTCGTTAAAACTTATTTTCAAAATTCGTTAAAACTCTTAGAATTATTTTTTTTAGAAATAAAATTGATTATTGTTTTCAAATAATGTTGATTAAATGTTGATTAAGCCGTCAGAACCCTACTAAAGGGAATTACTTTCCAAAACTATAATCTTCGAAATTTTTGAAACTTGATTAATTTCATGTATCAAAGCACTAATACTTTCCAAATAATATTACAAATTAAACAAAAAAAAAACATAACATAGAACATACATTTCACATAGCTAAACTGCCAATAGCGCAATCCTCCTCTTCGAGTGGCATAAATCTGAACTTCAACGGTCCCTTGGGTGTCAAAATCAAATTACTATTATATTGCATTTCCTCCGGCTTGGCCCAACTGATTTTGTACAAACGTATTAGACGCGCCAACAAAGTTTCCATTTCCATTTCAGCTATACGCTTGCCCACACAGGTGCGCGGACCAAAACCAAATGGCGCATAAATAAAGGGATTACTGCTACGCAACTCGGGACAAGCCTCGGTGCCCGCCTTGAGCCAACGTTCCGGTATGAATTCCTTATAGCGTGGATAATATTTCTCGCTATTACACAATGCCATATTGCCCATATGCACCGAAGTACCGCGTGGTATGCGATAACCGGAGAGCACAATATCCTTGGGCAATGTGCGTAGATTACCCGGCGCGATGGGGGTAATGCGTTGCGCTTCCTTAATGCAAGCGCGCAAATATGGCATAATTTTAGTGTTCTCCTGCGTGAGCGGTGTTCTTGGATCGGGCATTATGTGCATGAGCTCGCGACGTAGAGCCTGTTGCTTGTCAGGATTACGAGCGATGTGATAGAGCGCGGTAATGAATGTGGAAGCCGTCTGTAAGTACAGAAAATAATTTTACTTTTATCTATTTAATTCGAAGCAAACTTACTGTATCCATGCCGGAGGTTAGCGAATCAATACTCATCAATACTGCGTAATGTGGATCGATGCGCAACAATTTATCCAGTACACTCTTCGCTTCCTTATTGCCCTCTCGTTTGATACGCTCCATCGCCTCGAGCACATATTTATACGTTATTTCAGTGATGCCGTTGTAGGAGCGCATTAACTTCTTGAAACCCGGTGTTTCAAAGTATTTCCACATAGACGGCGTCATGTCATATTTAAAGCATAGATTGAAGGAATCAGCCAAATTTTGTACCAACTGTGCGGTCTCCTTTTTAGCGCTTTCAGTTGTCATATTCATGCGCTTATTCAACGATATATAAATAACCGACTCGAAAGCCCACTTTTTCAGCTCAATATGAAAATCGTTTTTCAACAGACCAGTGATGGGATCACGTAGCGTTTCAAGTCTGTTGTAGGGAAAAATCTCAAATGCCATTACTATTATCCATTACAAAAATTATCAATTGCCTTACCTGTCTACAAATTTCATAGTAATTTTGTCGATCTCCGGCAGATCCTGACGTATGCTGGCTGACTTCATCATTACGGGATTAACCTTGTTACGCATATCGCCCCAAGCGGAGCCGTGTCTTTTATGAAATATAATAGAAATATGAAAAAATAAAAACTTTTGGTAAAAAAAAAGAAAAAAAAAATAATTGTCAACTCACTCCGTTACAAGTCCACTTTGGCCCTTAAAGAAATCCACTCGCTTCACCTTACGATAATAATCAAAACTCATCATCGCTGCGCGTATTGGCCAAATGCCTTCATTACGATAGACCACTTCGAAGTCATCAGCATTATATGTGAAAACGGTGTCCACACGCCCGAAAGCGCCCTTCAAGAGAAATATATCACCATATTTTTGGCGCAGCATCTGATTCATACCTATATAATTCATATTGTGGAATTCGCCTGTAATTAAAACGAGGGAATTTCGTGGTTTTCGTAAAATAAATCAGCGCGATCTATGTCCTCAAGAACTCACCGCCAGGCAAGAAGCTAAGAAAAAATCCATATCGAGTTGGTCCGGGCAGGGCGTCGTATTCTTTGGCATTCGACCATTCGGCATCTGTGCGCTCGGGTGCATTCTCGTCGATTAGTTCTTTAAGTTGTTGTTGAGTCTAGAATGAGTTAAATGTTCGGAAAAATCTGATAATTAAAAAAGATTAGCCGAGGGTGCCAGAGTATATAAATAATATCACAAGTTTTTATGATCAAAAATGAATAAGAAAATTTTTCCGCTGAGCCGAAGTTGCTTTTTATTCTACTTATCGCTCTACTTATCCATATCCCTCATCAGTTTATTAATTATACAATTATTATCCCTTAAAGCTACATAAACCTTACCTCGAATAGTATATAAAGAGAGACTGTAACGATTACAGATATTTTAAAGCCTGCGCATAATCCTTTTTGCTTGTTCCATCTCCAATGTACCTACATCCTTTGAAGTTCAGCCCATGCAATAACTAAAGCCAGAGGAAAGCCTGAGCTGAGAATCCTCACATATTTGAAGAGAAGCCCTTACACATTAAACAAAAAACCTTCCTCTGTCGTGCTCTGTTGTCTGAAAATGTGGTTGAAAATGACAACGGTAAAACTGTTCCTGTCAAATCGGAGCGTTATGGTCGTGTGATAACCGATGTATTTGGCCCGAAATGGAAGAATCCGCATTTTTTCTCTTTAACAATTTTTTTTTGGCGAATTTGGCTTTTTTGAAAGAAATTTACTGGCAGTGTGTTCCCTCGTCTTGGTTATGTCAATGGGCCACCGAGATCGTGCGATTTGACACCCTGGAACTGTTTTTTTTTTTTTCTTTTTCATTTTTGAGACTATGCTAGCGGCCGTACTTATGCGGACTCACCTTTCTCCCTTGAGTACTTGAGAACCCACATTAAGTTATGGTTGAGTTAGCACCAAATATTAACCAAGAAGTGGCCGAAAATTACCACAAATAAAACGAAGTTTTCGTTGGAGAATTATTTCAAATGCTTCTAATTGACATTTATTTTGGAAACCACAAAATGGATAACAGTGTATATTTCACAGTCGATCATTACGAAAAATTTCCAATTGCCAGATTCGTAAGAGTCCAGAGATTCGTTAAAGTCCTGTGCCATTTTGAAAATATGAAAATTTTTAAGTATTCAAGTGCTCTCTGATCGAAATTGGAAAAAGAGAAACACAAGGTATTTCCCACAAATCTTTCAAAGGCCACAGATTGTGTGGAGTTCATGGATGCCAACGGTGAGGCAACTTTACAAGAGCTGTTTAAAATTCATCAGTCGCCCAGAGTCAGTGTGCAAATATTCAGTCATATTGAGCTTGATGGAGAACTCTGTCAAGAACTGGCGAACGCAGGAATTAACGATTATTATGAGGAAGAGAGAGAGCGAAATTTCCTATAATTTTAAGTACGTTCGGATAATTTCTGTGCTACGAGACTATCAAAGTTTCATGACACTTTCTCACAACATAACTCTTAACCGCTTAATAGTAATGAAAAAATATCAGTCAATATGAGACAGTAAATTTGATGAAACGAGTTTGTAGTGAGAGAGGACTCAATTTCTGAATGGAGCTTACTTAAACAACTCATTGCGGAGTGCAAGAGTGTATTTTGTAGATTTCGCAGGTTTACTGGGTTAGTTTGTTCGCTTTTCGATATTATACAATAATTTATACGCATTTGTGTGTTTGTATGTGTTAATTAGCGCTTGTCTGCATATGCTTTATTTTTTAAAGAATTTTGTAATATTAATAAACGTGCAATCTTTATTGAGAAAATTAAGTAAGATAAAGAAATAAAGAAAAAAATATTTTGGCTTTGTAAAAAGAAAGCTCATTGGAGATAAAAAAAAATCGACAACAACAAAAGCAGTAGGTAATTTATGCCGACATGGTTCAGTGCACCCTAAATATGCACATATGTATATACAATGCTTTTTATAAATACATATATACGAGTATATTAATTTAATCGTGTTTATACGTTTATGTATGTATGTTTTATTGAGTTCTTAAGCATAAGACGAGTCCACATAGTAGTATATTTATAATTATATAATATATGTCTTTAGCTTAATACTAATTTTATGTGATAAATATTGAAGTATGACTTTAATAATTAATATGACTTTAATATTAAGCATATTAAGTCCTTTGGTATTTAAAAGAAAGGATAGAGATATTCTAGAAAATTAGGCATTTGATTAGGGTAACCCCTCCAGGGACCGTAAAGTTAAAAATTTTATAATAAATTATTTTAAAAAAATTATTTTTATTTATTATATTAGCCCCTTTTTTCTTTATTTAACTATAGTCTGTAAATTTAATGTGAATATAAAAAATAAAATTTTTAATTGTTTCTCAATTTTTTATTAAAAATCAAATAAAAAAATTATTTTAAGTTAAAAATTTGGAAGAAAAAGTTCAAACTGTTTTCGAATTTGTCGGTATTAAACAACACGTGCGCCTTTTCGCACTTTTCCCCGAGCCTCTTTTGGAATATTATTTGCTTAAACTCAAAAAAAAAAAATTTATTTGCGGAGCTTGGTTTCTTCTACGGTCACTTTTTAAAAAGTTTAAAAGGGGAAAAAAATTTAAAAAAAATATAACACATTTTTTTCTTATAATTAAGCCACATCAGAATAATTTTTTATTTACTGAAATGATTACTGATTAAAGTAAATTAATATATTTCTGAATCAATTTATTATTATTATTATTATTATTATTATTATTATTATTATTATTATTATTATTATTATTATTATTATTATTATTATTATTATTATTATTATTATTACTATTCTTATTTTAATTTTCTATGACTCAATGAATCAGAATACGCGAATTCACTATTAATGATTTTTAATAAAATAACTGTAAATAAATTTATAGTTAAAAAGTTCTTCAATACCAGATTTCCTCCATTTTCAAATTTTATCATAAATCATATATCAGATCAGATCAAAAATCGATAGGTCATTGTACGGAGAACTATATATAGAACAAGTCGATAGTGATCAGATCATTTGTTTTTGAGTAATCACTACAGCAAATTCGGAAAATTTTGTTGCGAGAAAAACGCGTTTAAAGATAAAATGATCGTTTTCTTAATAAATTTTTTTAAATTAGTAAAAAAAAATAATTAATTAGTAAACTTTAATTTTAAATATTTTTACTGCAATCATTTTGTAATGACCATACTATATAGTGAATACACTCACCGCATTTGAGAAGCTGGAATTGCGTTGTTGTTCTGCTTGCGCTTGAAATCTAGCACCACACAGCTGCCGCAGTCGCACAAGCCTCTGACCGGTTTGTTTAACTGCATAAAGCTTTTTCAACATTTTGTTTTGATATTTTTATTTAATTTTTTTTTGTTGTTGTGTACTTAATTTATGCACGCGTTTTTTAAGGGATTTTGCGGCTTTTGGATTTTTATGTCTCTTTTTTTATTATTTTTGTTTTTATTATATTTTAATTGTTGTCACGCTTATTTATTTATCTTTTGTGAGTGTGTGTGTGTGTGGGTGATGCTTAACGAAAAAACACAAAGGTTAATTAATAAATGCAAAGGCACCAAGCACTGCAGCACTGTTGTCGCTGAGACCAGCAGCTTTACTGAATATTCAAGAAAAAGCGTTGGTTGTATTTAAAATAAATTGTTATTATTTTGTTGTTTAAAGAATGCATGGAATCAATGTTGTCAAAAGTTCTATCAAAAGGCAGATAAGAAAACTGCAAATGCACAATACACTGAGAAAAAAATTTCAAAGACTTCAAGAAATCTTAAAAGCATATTTTCATTTTCAAATTTGTGGAAAAAAGTATTTTTTAAACTTGTAAAACTTTTCAAAAATGATTATTGACAAAAAAGAAAAGCTTTATAAAAGTATTATATGTAAAAAATATTTTATTGTATAAAATTATTTAATTCACTTTAATACAATAAATCTTAATATTTTGCTCATTGAAGAAACATTAAATGTAATTTTCAAATTAAATTATTTAAACAAAAAATAATTATTTGCACGAAATATTTTTTTATAGCTTTTTTGAAGAATTTATTTCCTACTTTTGTATGTTGGCAGCGGAAACCGAGTGCTTGGCATTGCGTACTGGCATTCGTAATGCCCGTATTCAAATCCCGGTTTCGTACTAACAAGCAAAAAGTTATGGAAAATCAATTTAAATAAAAAATTAAACTAAATTGTTTAATTGCGGTCGCACCTCGGCAGGGAACGTCATTCCCCCGAATGAATTTCTGACATGAAATAAAAGACTGACATGTAAAAAAAGATCAGCCGTTCGGAGGCGTCTTAGTTTAAATTGTAGCTCCCTCTATTTGTTGGAAAAACAACAACACGCAAAACCATAAATTGGTGGAGGAACTTGAACGTAAATCGCCTCAGTTACAAAGCGCCAATTATACATATGTACAAAAATACAAGTGCATACCCATTTACGGTACGACATAAGAGCTTTTGTTTTTGTCGACATAAAGCTCATTTCCTTAATACACCCACCAAAAGCTTGCCATGCATAAAGTAAAGCTCACCACCGCTTGAAGCTCAAAGCATATTCAAACAGGGTGCCTCAGCTTACAAATATTTTTTTTAAACTACACAGAAGGTTTTTAACTAGAAATTTGATGCAAATTATTTTGGTCAAGTAAAAAGTACTCCATTATTCGATATATATCAAATATACATCATTTCGCTGGATAACTTATTGTCATTTTTAAGGTAGTGTCATTATTTCTTTCATAGAAACTCTGTTCCTATTGGCTTATTCTCCTCCAGCCAAATCATTCGCCCTAGACTTGGACAGAAGGTTATAACTTGGAGCGAGGTCTGGACGGTAAGGTGTATGCATTTATGTCTGTTGATAAAAGCTGGGCGATTCTGTGCGATGGCTCCCTTCAGGAGGTCCCTTTGCCGACGTAACATATTCTAGTGCGATAACGAGCCGATTTGGCGAACTCGCCGCTTAAATTGATTGATTAGGATCAATATATTTGAAAAAATTGGGGCTTCCGCTCACTTTTGATATGTGATTTTCATAAGTTATCTAGTCTTTTGAACTGCAAAGCTCTTAGATATCTACGAAGAGTTCTAGATAAGGCCGGAAATAGGCAGAGAAGACATTCTAGCGTTTCGCTCTGCTTCTTTTCATTTGATGCTCTTTTTCATAGTCTTGAGGATCCACCATGTCGTTAAGGCATTCCATGCCATCCTGATTTGTCATCCAGCGCTTTCAACGTACATCGATTTTGATGACTTGTGACTTGTGCCACTACAGGAGCTCGTAAGCCAGATGGATGATACTTTTGGTTAACTGCTAAGACTACCGCCTGGAAGGTAATGCAGTTATCTAGAAGCATGGTTCCACTCAATAGATTCTGACACCCACTCCATTTTTACTACATACGTGGAAATGTTGCACGTTCGTGGGTCGCATGCTCCTGTCCCATTTGCATAGAACTAGAAAACCAGACAAAGCGCACGGGTATGTGCCACGAGCGAAAAATATTTTGAAACCACTTGAAGAAGGCTGGATACATAAAAAAAGCTCGATGTATGGGTGCCACCTTATGCAGGAACAAGAAAAAACCTCATGGACTGAATTTGCATCTGAAAATCTCTGCTGCATCTTTACAAAATTTATCTATTCCTAAAGCGGGGACGGTTTTATTGTATATTTTGTGCGATTAGCAAGGAATCATCCACTATGGGCTGCCTTCCTTACGCCCAAACTCTCAATTCGGAACTGTACAGTCAGTAATGGGACCTTTTGAAGGAAATAATAGCATAAAACCGTTCAGCTTTGGTCAACAGGAGGGAATTGTGTTTCATGATGACAACTCCAGACCACACAGTGGCTCGCCAGATGCTCCGAGAGCTCGATTGGAAGGTGCTTAGGTGGTTATGCATCCACCTTAGAGTACGCAGCTTGCACCAAGTCATACCATCTGTTCCTATTTATAGTAAATGATTGTGCTGTTGAAGAATTGGCCTCAAGAGAAGCCTGTAGAAATGGGTCACTGGCAAAAAGTTATTCAGCAAAACTGTGAATATTTGACATAATTCGCAAAATTCTAACTGTGGGAAATAGGGCCTTCAGTATTAATCAAAAGTAATGGAGCACTTTTTACTCGACCAAATATTTTGAATTGAGTATATTTTTCAACTTACCAAACAGAATTTTTCGATTACCGCAAAATAAAACATTTTTGAATATTTCATACATTTCATTAATTACATTTATTCGCCATTCGCAATTACTTTCACAGAGTTTTTAATATACTTTTATGCTTTTTTTGTTTTTTTTTTAATATTTTTTTTTTTTAGTTTTTGTTGTGTTTTTTACTCATATGCGCTAAACTAACGTTAGACGTCGACGAAATTTTTTTTATTTATAGTTGAAAGAATCAATGCAAGGAATTTTTAGTGATGGCCGTACATAAATATACATAATACATATATATACATATATGTATGTATATATATAGATATAGAATGTTTATATATGCTTAAATTTAACCATAATGCTTAATGTAAAAATGTTTATTTGATTTTGTATTAACATTGGCTATTTTGTTTTTCATTTTGCTTATATTTTTTGCTTTTTTTCTTTTAAGTTCTTTTGCATTTCATTTTCGTAGGTACATTATAGTTTAGATTTTATGCATATATATTTTATTTATTTCTTTTTTTTCTTAATGAAAAACAAAAAGAATACTTTTAGAAACATTCAGTTATGAGAGAGAAAAACACACATAAAGTTTAAAAGTTTTTCTAGATTTGAGTTTTTATAGTATATTTAGTAACATTTGAATATTGTGAATGAGTATTTTATGTATATTTACAAAGGTCATTGAGTATATGTGTGTGAAAAGAAAGTAACAATTTTATATGATTTTTGAATTTTCATAAAGACCATAAGACGATAAGCCGAGTAAATTGCTGCCAAAAAGTTATCGGGCTCATCATTTCAGGGCACCAGTAAAATATTTCGATGCTAGAAATGAAAGATCCTTATTAATTATCCTTAGCGAAGAAATGAAAATTTTAGTAATAACAAGAACTATTTGACCTTTTGAAGTGATTGCTCTAAACTCTATATATGAACTAGGCCACAATGATAGCTTCTGGTTTAAATTTTAAGAGCTTCATCGACTCACGTGATTCTTCTAAAAAAAATTCAAGGTTATGTTCAAAACTTTCGTTATTTATATTTCTGAGCAAGCTAGGATTCCAGAACAATATTGAAAAAAAAACCTTTTTTGTATTAATTTTAATTTATTCATTAAATTTTCTATAGAATTGAGAGTATCGCAAATTTTCGAAGACACCATATACAGGTAAGTAAAGAGTGATGTTTTTAGCTAATATCTTTTTGGCAACTCCGGTTTAAACAGCTGACGCACGTTTCGTGTTTTTTATCACTGTCAAACATCTTCAGTTTGGTCTATAATTTAAGCATGGATCACCACACAGCACGCGTAACAATGGACTTATTAAGAGACCAGTTCGATGAACATTTCATTTCGCGTTCGGGACCGGTCAATTGGCCGCCTATATCGTGCGATTTAACGCCTTTAGACCATCTTTTGTGGAGCTGTGTTAAATCCAATGTCTATACAGACAAGCTTGTTTCAATTGTCGCATGGGGGGACAACATTGAAGTATTTATTCGTGAGATACCGGTCGTAATGTTGGAAAGAGTATGCCGAAATTGGACTAAGCGGATATAGCATTTGAGGCCCATCATGAAATAATCTTCAAACATTAAACTATATGGACCGTACAATCGATTCAAATAAAGTTTTCATGCATTTTTCGGAATTTTATATGTTTCTTTTGAAAAACTATCCCCTAGCTCTTAAAAAATCACCTTTCATACTGTAGAAAAAATCCGGATAATTATGATTTTTCGGTTAAATTATTTTTAAGGCAGTGTTTGTAAAATTGTTTGTTATTTGAAATGAGACTGTGATTGAATAATCATTGAAATCGTATTTATAAGAAAATCAATTTTCTTTCAAAGAAATCTTTTTTTTTTAATTTTTTTCAGTATGTCTTACCGTTTTCGAAAATTGAATAAGGTGTTTAAAAAAGCCCTAACTAAATTACTACGGAATCTGAACATGCTTAAAAATGCAAATATCGAAAAATTCATAACAATACATCGGTTTTTTCCAAGAACCATGTGAGCCGATAGAGCTTTTAATATTTTCCCTATAACTTATTACTATAGCCAAACACATAACCAGGTATTAGAGCAATCATTTCACAAGGTCCTGAGAAAGAAACTCATTCTAGATATTAAAAAAAACTTAAAATAA